AAATAACTGTATTTTAAGAGAATTGTGTTTTTATAAATGTTCTCACAAAAATGTTTTTGTATAACATAATATTGACTAAAGTGTTTTTTATTTCAAGTTATACTTTTAAGAGTTAGCTTTCTCCAAAAAAACAAGCGTGAATTTATAATGTGTTTCTTTGTCTTTTTCCCTGTGCGCCCTATCTAAAATGCTATCCATACAAAAGTCCTTAACAAAAAATCCCTAACCATTATCAGACTGGATAGCCTAATTAACTGTATAAATACATTTGTGTATTTATATAGTAACCGGTAATACTTATTCATGAGAACAGATAGTATTTGTATAATACATTTTTTTTAGATTAACGGAAGATGCCAGAAAATTGTGTGTTCTGGAGGTTTGCGTTTGTATGTAATGACACTTCCGAGGCAGCAGGGGGCAGTGGCGTTTCCTCCTGTATACACTTGGACAGACCCGAGGCTCGTTATTTACGGAAGCTCCTTCAGAAAGAAGTGTAAATAATATTTCGTGTAAAATAACCCCAGCTTTGTTTTAAGTTGCGCACACTGCTACGTTGATGCTCGACTGAGAACCCGAGCAGCTTCATAGGGAGAGCAGCAGACTCGTTTGCGCTGAGCTTAGCCGGTACAGCGTCGCAAAGCTAACCAGTCCCAGTCCTCTCCGTTTGTCATGTTGACACCCCGGGTGTGTTTCGAAGTTGTATGAAGCCTTAAGAACCTGTGTACGACCTGGAGACGCGGTTTTTGAGCTGTGCTGCGGAATAGCCGGCTGAAGCTGACTGCTAGCCTGCTAGCCCGGCGTTAGCACCATGGGAGCGGAGCAGAGCGGGGATGCGGAGCACAAGCACTCCGACTACAGCTCCTCGGGTAAGAACCACCCTCCACCCTTAGACTGTAAAATAACCTACGTAACTCACATTTTTACTATTACAGTTGTTTATTTAGCCACCTTTACCGAAAACAGCAACGAAGAGCTGCGCATTAAGTCCCCACATGACAGCAGTACGTCACTTCTCTTATTACCGTACAGTAGGGTGACCATGTTTTGATTTCCAAAAAGGAGGACAATCTTCCTCCAGACGGATTCAGACAGGCTTCTCAGAGGTTCATGAACAGGCTTTATTATACTTCAATGGTACAAAAAGAACTTCTGCAGTAAAACACAACCAGTAACAAAGTGATAGCCCTCCTTTAAAATACATGAATAACTTCAAATCATGTTCTAAATATGACCTCTTCTGTATTATAAAATACAGCTTTAACTAAATACCTCTGAATACCCTCTGAATGGAATGAATGAAACAGTCTCACAACGATACAAACTCAACAAACAGAAAGGATCTACACTAAGTAGATATATCTACTAAGTATAAATCCTTTTTGTCCCACTTGTCTCAACCGAGATGGTACGGGGGACATTTTTGTGGCTGCTGAGGCCCTTTGGTCATCCTACCGTACACACTGGTCTCCCAGCCTGGACGGTAAAACCGTTACAGAGCGCGTCTGGACTTCAATCAGCCCAAAAAGTCTCATGTACCCCCTCTGTTCACTAAGCTTCACTGGTTACCCCTGATTACTTCTGGCTGCTGCTTCTAATTCAAGTCCCTGATGCTAGCCTACAAAGCGCTTAAGGCGACGGCTCCCTACTTGAACCCTCTTGCAAAGGTTCATGTCAACTCGGTCCCTTCGGTCATCAGAGGATTGTGGTCCAGCAGAGCTGCACCAACCTTAAGACCATCCAGACTGTTTTCAGTTGTTGTTCCAAGATGGTGGGACGACCTACCAAGCTACAAGAACAGAAGCATCCCTTTCAATCTTCAGGAAACTCTTCAAGACCCACCTCTTCACAAAGCATCTCCTATCCTAACTCTTCCTCATACCTCTGTACCACTCTACTCCTCTTTCTGTTCTTCCCATAAACATTATTTTGACGTCAGAGTGAGCTGAGCTGAGTTCTGTGTGTGTGTGTGTGTGTTTTGGTGTGGTTGCAGCGGTGCCGTCCCCGGCGAGGCAGAAGGCCAAGATGGATGACATCGTGGTTGTGGCCCAGGGGACTCAGTCCCTGCGGAACATCCACAACGATCCCGATGTCATCAAGCTGCAGGAGATCCCCACCTTCCAGCCGCTCCTGAAAGGTGGGTAGGAAAGAAAGGACACGTGGTTTGAGCCTCATTCAGCCCTCATAACAGGCAAGTTTGACTGTCAAAAGTAGTGTTAGTGGAGCCAACCGTCCAAGAAGTAGTCGGATCAGGTGAGTCAGGGAGAGGACTTGGGCAGGAGGAAATCCATCCATCTATTTATTATACCATGTATTCTTAGTAGGATCATTTTGTGTATAATAACATCTTAATTTAATAATGGCAAAAACCATGTAAAGCACAACAGTAAAATTACCCTTTTATATTTTGTATGAGCAGTTTTCATAAGTCTACTAATCTCTGTGGATCATAAGTGAATCTGTGATCAGTGTGTGTGTGTGTATGTGTGTATATATATATATATATATATATTCCCAAGAGCTCTGCTCATCGCAACTTGCATACGGAGAACTGGTCCTCTAAGAGAAAAGGAAGTTTTTTTTCTTTGCTGCTTTCTATAATTGGGCCACATTTAGGATAAATAAGGATAAATAAGATATACGGAGAGGAACTTTCATCAAAGACAACCATTTCTTCTTCTGTTTCTACATCTCGACAACATAAAGTTAAGATTTTTGGGATTAGACACTTCCTCGAAAGTTTAGTCATTTTTGACTTTCCATACGTGGAGAGTTCTGTTCACTTTTCTGCCCCCGCTGTTCTATTTTCACATTCTGATTGCCACTAAAAGCCATTAGCGCTGTGTTAGAGAGTGGATAATGAGCCAGGTTTCCAGCAGAATAGCAGGACGGGTGCTGGTGTCACATCCTGGGCGGGCTAATTGCTGTAATTGCGGCGTGCTGGTGAAGTGCTGCTGGGGTCCAGCGTGTCCAGCGCGCCGCCCCCCTCACGCCCGCTGTCTCTGCAGGGGTGCTGAGCGGCCAGACGTCCCCCAGCAGCGTCAGCCTGGAGCGGCTGGACGCGGGCCAGGTCATGCAGCTCTGCCTGCGCTACCAGGAGCACCTGCACCAGTGCGCCGAGGCCGTGGCCTTCGACCAGAACGCGCTGGTCAAGAGGATCAAAGAGGTGGGGGTCAGCCGGTTCCACTGTGTGAACCGAGAGCAGAAGGAGGTGCTGAGGTTTTTGTCCCCCCCCCGTCCTCTGTGTCCCTGCAGCTGGACCTGTCGGTGGAGACCTTGTTCAGCATCATGCAGGAGCGCCAGAAGCGCTACGCCAAGTACGCCGAGCAGATCCAGAAGGTCAACGAGATGTCCATGATCCTGCGCCGCATCCAGATGGGCATCGACCAGACGGCGCCGCTGATGGAGCGCCTCAACAACATGCTGCCCGAGAGCGAGCGGCTGGAGCCCTTCAGCATGCGGCCCGACAGGGAGCCCGCCGCCAAGTAGGCCCCGCCCCCGGCTGAGCCCAGCTCCGGCCTCCAGGGGAAAAGGAAAGGAAAAAAAACTAACTCATTTTAAACTGCAGACAAAGCGCTGGGCTCCATTCCTCCGGTCTGCCTCGGTCAGCTCCTTCAGATCAACGGGGACTTTTTAGCTCTTTTATTTACGGCGGGAGAGTTTGCTGAGCACACAGCGGGCGATCGATAGCGGCCGGGCTCCGGGGACATATTTATTCCTGCAGGCCGCCCGGTCCATCATCAGCGTGTGCCGCTGACCGCTGGGCGGGCGGCTTCCCAGGACCCGCATCCCAGCACCGGCCCGGTGCGGCTTTGTTGGTTCAGATGAAGGAAACACAGAACTCTGTGTCTGAGGAACACGGACAAGGGCCGGACCAGAGATCTGCAGACATAAGGCCAGCGTCAGAACTTTGGGATTGACCGATTATTTAAATAGATTAAAAATCTCAAAATAATTTTTTCACTGCACTCCTGAAATTGAGACCCTCTCTCCGTCCACCTCTCTAATGGTAAATTCTGACGGTCGAGGCCCAGAACTAGCAGCTGTGCTCACTAAAACATTGCAGGAGGAACTTGGCAGTGTCCTGCAGGCTTTTGTGGCGTGTGTCCGGTTTTAATTGAATGGGGACGGAGACAGGTGGAGGTAAATCGCTTGTGAGGAAAAAACGCTGCATGGACTTAATCTTCTCATCACCACACGTCCAGAAAACTACCCAGGAAAAGGCTTCCTGTCTTTTTTGTATCTTTTAGAAGAGTCTGTGTTGTTTACTTCACTGTGTTGTCTTTGTGCTCTTTTCTGCATCTGAAGCTTCGCTCTTTACACCTGAAAGAGGTAGTTAGGAGGTAGTTTGGGCTTTGTGTGATGGAATGGAAATTCTGGAACTGAGAATTATAATAAATAAATGGAAAAAACAAAACAGCTGTATTCATTTGTGTTCCTTTGGCTTTTCCACCAATTTGCCCATCCTTTCTTTTCCTACTGAGAGATTCTGTCGTTTTCCAACATGGAAACCAAGTAAAGTATTTCTCTGTATTTTTTTTCCAATCCAGTGGGCGCTGTAAATGACCCTTTTTTGTTTTTTAATGTTTCCGTTTTTGTGACAGCAGAATTCTCCACATTCTACTTTGTAAGATCCATCCATTGTCCAGTGGGGCTGGAGTCTATTCCTGCTGATGTTTTGTGAAAAGCGAAACACACTGAACACATTTTTAAGGTGAGTCTCCCTCCTTGTACCTCGCTTTAATCAAATGTGTTGATAGAAATTAAACTAAATTTTTTTAATGTGTTGGTCCACTAAGTGGCGCCAAACAGTCTGTTTTCCTCTTGGATCTTAAAGCAAGATGTACTGAAAAGTGGAAGAAAACAGCGTGATGCTGCAGTCCGTCACTTTGTTCACGTTTTATTCACCTTCAAAACCAGCCAAGAGCGGTTTGATTAACATTTTACACTCTTTTTTTTAATTCCAGGTGGATAACTTCACAGTAAAGCCTACCAAACGTGATCCATGATGTCTCTCACAGCTGGGGATCAGAGGCGTCTACCAGAAAAGATGCCACTCATCTGGTAGGAAACTCCTCTTTGGAAACACTTTGGAATATTCTTTACACCACATAAAGCAGAGATCGGTTTTCTCTGGAATTTAAAGCTGAACTCCTTTGATATATCAAAGGAGCAAATGAAAAGTGGGCCAAAATGTCCCAAACAGCCTTTGGGGGTATTGTTTGAACAAAGAGAGTTGATTGTCTCTGCGTTCAGCGGCGAGGAGAGGAGGTGTAAAAGTCCCTTTTTTTCTTAAAAAAAAAAGAAAGAAAAGTATCTCCTGATGGTTGGAGCTGGATATTAACGCCACGAGATGATTCAATACTATCTGCTGCCATAAAATTCATTCTCTGAAATGAAAGAGAAATCCAATTTCCCCTGTATACTTCTCATTTGAATATAAATCAAAGGCTGGTTGGATGCCTCACTCCTTCCTGTTTTGCACACACAGAATTAGAAACAGGAAAATAACTTGGCTTCCTACACCCCCCCCCCTTTTTTTGGTTTGTTGTTTTTACAGGAGAGAGCAGGGGTTTTTTTTATCACCTTCAACAGAAATGGGAAATATCTTTAATTAATCTCGAACCTAATCCAACTCAGATAATTAAAACACTTGGGAAGTTCATTGTAACCCAGCGAGTGGATTTTCAGTTCAGTCTGTTGTCAGTGTCTGAAGGTTATCAGCACTCCCATAGTTTTTGGAAC